AACTATCCTCAGTAACCCATACAGTGACTGAAATTAGAACTCGGTTCAATAACTCGAGTTGTGACCAAGAATTACCTCTTATTTTATGAGGAGTAATGAACCTGTTTGTTTTTTTTTTTTTCCTATTGAGAGCCGCAACAGCAAAAACGTTTTATATTCTATACTTTATCGCCTTTATTGTTGCGAAATATTCTGGAGGCACACACACACAATTATCTTTGTTGAAAAAAATAAACTAAACCAAACTACATAACCAGAGATATAGAGAATGGATCAAGTTGCTTTCAATTATTTATAAAACCAAACAACAATGCCCCACTGCTGCATACCTGGGTATTTTAAATTTTTAAAAATCTTAATAGATATATATGTGCATCCAGTAATATTCATGATTAATAGCCTGTAATGTAATAAGGTGTTGATGGTAATAATACTCCCTTTTAGATCCCACTCCAGTGAGACCTGGAAAAATTGTTGAATCAGTTTGTTGTCCAATGTCTTTAAAGTTCTGTAAAAAGTTTTATCAATCTCCCTTCAGAATCACTCCTGAAATATCCAATCCAAGTGACGTAGTGTATTCAACAGATCGCATCTGGAACAGGAATTATGTGACATGTGTGTGTATGTGTGTGTGTATATATATATATATATATATAGCTGGGTGAATCGTTATTTCTTCCTTCCAAAATTTGCAAGAAATAAACAATCCTTCAATACAATTAATCCTGCAATTAAAATTTTTTATTCTACTTCGTGGATATGCACTTGGCTTCACCCTAAATCGTACCTTGGCTTGACAGTGGGACAAGATCAAATATATTTTTTAATTGGTTGCTCCTAGTTACAAGGCAAGGAATAAGATATAAGTACTTGAACTGTTTCCAGTCAGTTTGAGCTGGTTGCTTCTAATTCCATAATCCACAGGCTATTACAGCTCTCATTTCCAATTAACCAAAATAGATTTCTTAATATTTTTATTACTCACAAACTAATTCAATTACTTCCTTCTATGCTGCTAGTCCAATGTTATGCATGGCAGCTTTCATGGAGATTGTTTTTAAGAGTTGGTCGACATCACTCTCAGCATGCCAGGTCAAAGTCCTCTGCTACTTGTTAAAGGAAGACAATTCACTACTGAATACAATTTTGTTTGTATCATCTTTAGTTAAACATTTTCAGGTTTCTGTATTTCAAAGTTTGGAGAATTAAATACGGCAAAACTTGGTTTCTTGCTTTTGTAGTTAGAATTATCCAAGAGACACTAATTTATCAGGTAATTTCACACTATTCTCTACTGATCTATATATGCCTCGAGCCACAAGGTCCAAACAGCCATTTAAAGAAAACTGAGATATTTAAGTATATTTCACAATGTTCCTTACATCATGACTCAAATATTAACATATTTGACTGTGACTCATTTTTGTCAATTTATTTTGATTCAGATTTACCTAAGAAACAGTGCCAAATTTGTGGAATAGTAATCAGTATTTTAACTTCATGTCAGTATTTAGGGGAAGTAATCCTTTAATGAAACATCATCTGGCTCATGTCTATCACTTCCCTGAGTTCATTGGATAGAGTGAACCAGGTGATTTGAATGTCCAAATGTTGCTGAGTTTGTCTTAGTTATTTCCGAGTTGATGTTTAACACTTTATACATCCTAGCATCTCTATCTATAAACGGCAGGATGTGTGTGTGTGTGTGTGTGTGTGTGCGTGCGTGTGTATAATGAATGCACGGCCACAGTTTTCGACGGATTTGCACCAAAATTTACATGCACATGCTTCAAGTTAGCAGGAAGGCAAAGACCGACTTTGCATCTCCCAACTCCCATCGATAGTGGAAATAATCAATTTTTCATGCTTCTCGGCAGTTTTATGTAGTTTATGGCCATTTTCTACTGGCCAGAGTGAAAGCCTATAGATGGCTGCCATGAATAGGCAGGAAGATTCTATTGGCCAGCGTGAGAGCCAACAGCTGACTGACACGAATGTTAACTAGCATGCAAAAAAAAAAAAAAAAAAAAATCGATAGCTGCATTCATCAGAAGTGGGAAAAATTTAAATCTGCATGGCACTTTACTCCAATTGGTTCATTAAACGCTTAAACTCAACGTTGATTCTGATTCCACAGAACTGGGTTGGGTGTGAAAAAAGTATTTGTTGTTAACATTCTTTTTCATTCGGTTTTCCCAGTTAAGAGTCCTTTTTTAAAGCTGATCATTTTGTGTTCATTTTGTTTAGTTTAGTTCTTTTTTCATAACAGATTTAATGTTTAGTATAGAGCTTAGAAAAAATTCACAGTGTGAGATAGGCAAGAAGGCATGTAGCAACATCAGCACGGCAAAGGGCACTCCTTTAAAAGGCAAGGAAGGGCAAAAATATTTTAAGTCAAGTGATAGCGATTACTGTGCAAAGTCGTACGATTTTTTGAATCAAGCACGGGCAACGCCGGGCCATGCTGCTAGTCATATGAAAAAACTCAATTTTCTAAATTGTTTTACATATTATCCTTTCCCTAAACTTAAAAAAACAAAAAAAAAAAAAAACATACACAACAGACACACATTATATATATATATATATATATATATATATATATAAAATGGTAGCCTGTGTTGTCAAACATCTTTGGGAATAAGCCAGTTTTTATCCTATTAAAGTGAGATCATTCCACCAATTCTCACTCTACAGAATGTGCTTAACACTGAGTAATGTGTAGTTAGAAAAAAAAAGAAAAAAAAAACACACACACACACAAATTAGTAAAATTGTTTTATTAAACTTATCAAACAACAAAGATTGATTTGCAATTTAACTGTGCAATAATTAAATCATAAACTAATCAGCTATTAAAGTGGACTGAAGATATAAACTTTATGTTGATCTCAAAATATTTAAAAAAAAAAAAAAAAAAAAAAAATATAATATATATATATATATATATATATATATATATATCTCTTACTACTACTTAACAGTTATACATAAAAAATGTGTTCAAATCAAAAAATTTCAATTGTAATGGCTGCCTGATAGCAATTTACTTTACAACTAGAAAAGCTGTTTAAAAAAAAAAAAAAAAAAGTAATATGATACAGGCTATATTTTACAGAACATGTTTGGAATTAAATTTTGACTGAATATTATTACTTTATGTTCAATATTAAAAACAGTAAAATATCTCAGAAATGCAAATGTGAAACAATTTGTTCACCCACCCACCCACAATATTTCCCATGACTTAGTCTTCCTTAGCTGTAAAACTATTTAGTAAACAAAAGACAACCAGATTTTACAAAGACTTTTTTTAATCCTTTAAGCAAGCCCAAATGTTTTAACCTTCAACTAAAATATTTTAATGAAGAAGTTTTCACAAGTAAACTATAAAGACTTATTTTTCACTTTGGTACATGGGTATGTGTTAATCTTAATGTCTTTTTATCATTATGTTTATCATTGACACAGTGCTTCAACATTTGACATTGAAGGATGTAATAAAATACAGATGCCCAACACAGATTGTTAGGAAGACAAGTCCCAATTAACCATTTGCTTGTGTCAAGCCCATTTTTTGCCATTAGCATTAGATAAAAAAATAGCATTTTGCACTGAAAACATTATTTTTTTCAATAAAACCAATTGATAAATAAAATGATCTATACATGATTTATACAAGTTGTTTATGTTTTAAATTTAAAATCTAGCTTTATTTTTTTGGAAGGAGAAAAAATATTTTCGAACAGATTTATAAAAGTTTACAAATTTGCATAGATTTTCTGATTTTACTAATAAAAATTTAAGCAAAACTTTACTTGTATTCCTTCCTCATTTTCACAGCAACAGCAAAGGTACAATTGTGCCAAGACAACTACAATGCTTGTGATTCAGCAGCTTTCTGAGAAATTTTCTAAAAAGTTTACAATATTATTACAAAAACAACTAAAATCTATTAGAAAAATAGTTCCATTATTTTCCATTTCTTGTTGATAGTCAGCTAAAAATTTCTTCATATTTTATATATATATATATATATATATATATATATATATATATATATATATATACGCACGCATGCACACACACACTTGTTATATAGTGGATACCCGTATTTGAAATAAGACTCACCTAAACAGAGTGTGCTAACCTGCACATTCATAATTAACAAATCTTAAATAAAAATAAAAATGTGGCATCTATTTCAATGAGTATTTTTTTTCTTTTAAAAATTTCACCCCAGCATAGCAATAAAGCCACTAAGATGCAAGGGTTACTGAGTGTTAGAGAGTATAAAATAAAAATAATAAGGAACACACACACCATGAAGGCAAGAACAATAAAAGAACAAGAATAAAGACGATTGATACTGATCTTCAAAAATTTAAATGCAAAGTTGACTGGGAAGCAAGAAGCTGGTAGAGAGCTTGACAAGCAAGAAGTGTGATAGAAAAAAACTTAGCATAGAATATAGAATTGCAATTCAGACCAGACACCTGGTTCATTCTCAGGTTGCACCATCTTCCAGTCAAACACTTGTGGCTTAAAAAAAAAAAAAAAAAAATCTTTCTAATCATTTTTCCATAAAAATATTATTAAAAAACAAAAATATTTCATCACAATTAACCAAGTTACCATTCTCCCTACTCTCACTCAAATCTTTCTTCATTTTATCTTTGACACTGACAAACCAAGTTTGCTAAGCAACATCAATGTCAGTTAAAACATATTTTAGATCGTTTAATAAATGGTGTCTACTAAATTCCAACTATTGAATTAGAGACATTAATTGAATATAATCTTAGAATACCAAGTTGTATACAATAAACTAAATCTGATTAAAGCTTTATTTGACATAATTGTGTCCATACATATTACTTAAAATAAGAAATAATTCCTTTTAGGAATAGTTCATGAAAAGCAAGAAATGTGTTGTCAATACAACAAGAGATGTAATTTAATGGCAGTACATCAAGTTCAGTAGAATTAAGAAGATTATTCTAAGGAGGACGCAGGAAACCAACCTAAAAAAGAAATAGTAAACAAATTTATTACAAAGAAAATATTTAAACAAAAAGAATAAAAGACTGGTAAATATGGACTTTATTAGTACTTTAAATGGGAAATAGATATATCTACTAGTCTGACACAAGGCTACATCCTTCAACTACAAAAATCAGGAACAATTACAAATTGATTTCATTAACCATTTCAGAGTAGCAAGTCCTATTTTACAGTTAATATTAATGCTCAGGATGCAAGTTGGCCCTTGTATTTTTTATGGTTTTTTTTTGTTATTTTATCCTATTAAAATTAAAAATATTGTCAGAATCCAGTTGGTCAAATGAGTATTGAATTACAGAAAGACTAATCAGAGATTGAACACTGTAGAAATAGTTTTTTTTTTTTTTTTAGCATGTGAAAAGTCAGTTTTCAACCTCTTGATTCAATATCAACAGTAAACAGAATAAATGTGTCAAATTTATAGAATTCTACCTGGTTTAAATTCTACTTTGATTTTAAAATTGTTTTTTGGGTACACACACACACACACACACACACACTATTTATTGGCAAATGTCTTCTGTTTTGTGAGATTTTTTTTGTTTTTAACATCCCGTGACCTGGTGATGACAACAACATTTAACAGATGACATTGTTTTTTTTCGCTGCACATCTTTCGTATTTCCCATCACCTGGCCATTTAACCATTCCTTTTATTCAATGATGTTCATGCCAAATTAAGCAAAAAGGGATGAAGTTTGGATGATATTACTTTGAAGTGAAAATAAATATTTTTTCATAAAAAAAAAAAAAAAAAAATGGGGGGAAATTTCTTAATGCTAACTGCTGAATGACATTTTCCACAGCCAAATCGAAGATTAATTACCAGTGAATAATTCCATGTGCAAACAATAGCCGTCTGGATCCTATAACATCGCCTGAAAAGGCCCAGAAGTTTACTGATTGATCGAAAACTTGTTGCACACAATTGTGTTTTTCACGGTCAGTTTCCATTATTTCATCTTGATGTTGTCATTTTCAGGCAGCCAAGTCAACAAGGATTCAGGAAAACAGTTTGGAACAGGTTTGCTTTAAGAACTTTACATTCTATGATGTGTTTAAAATGTTACTGATGAATGCGATTTTTCACTGAATATTTCGTTTACGCGCCATGTTGGATTTTCCTATATGACAAAAATAAGCAATTTAAACAGCCATGCCTAGCCTTGGCCATCCATAAACAGCAAATATTTGAATAATAGTCAGTAAGACTCCACCCCAAAGATTAATTCCTAATTTTATAACTAACTTGAGTGATTTTCTGAATTTTCTACCATAAAGTGAACCTCTTCACTGGGCAATGATAGCCATGCAAAACTATTTAAATGATTAATATATTTCTTATGAATCTAACACATTTATAGTAAGGAACTTATTTAGAAAAGAATAAGAATTAAACAAAACTTCTACAATAAAGACTTAAATTCACTTAACTCAAAATCTGACAAAAGATCATATTTTGTCAGATAATAAAAGCTGAATGCATAAAGATTTACAAAATGTTGTTGTTGGCATTCAGATATCACATAATAGAAATAGAGCTTTGGGGCAATTAGGAAACTCTTCAGAATTAGCATTATCTTAAAACTTTAAATGGTTGTATTTAGCACCCAACATCTGAGAAGATTTGAATCTGTTTTCAAACACTTCAGGTTTTAAGCTGTAAATGTTCAAACTGAGATTGTTTTTCTTGTTTATTTTTTTTTTTAATTTTAAAATTCTTTTTTTCCTCTCTCAGTAGAAACTTGCAACAAAATCTTTTCAAAATTCTGCCATTCAGAAATAAATCAACTTACATGAAATTCGTTGATTCTCCGGCAAGACAGCGGAAGTGAGTTAGTGCTGTATGCCAAAAGTTGAATGAGAGAAGCAGTGAGTCTAGATGATAAAGTCAGGGGCATGACTGAAGAATCGTTCAACCACAAATTAAATACTTCATCACCAACATTACTGGAAAATAAATAAATAAAACAATATGCACATATTGTCATTTTCAAATATCAAAACTAATTTTATTTTCAAATTTTTAATCATTCTAGTAAGAATTCTTTCAAGAATGGATTAAGTCTAGACAACAAAAACAAACTGCTGCCTACTAGTTTTCTTTAGTTACATTTTATAGATTTTTTCCAAAAAATATAAAAGTAATTTTTAGTGATTATAGTTTAAAAAATGTGTAAAAATCAGACGAAGCAAATCTGAATGTGGGTCATAAAAAGTTATTATGGATAAAATAAATAAAACTAAAAAAAGAGCAGAGTTTTCAACAGAAAGAACAAAAACAATTTGTCTATTCTCAATTGAGTAATTTGTTTCAATTCAAAGAGACAGCATCATAGAATGACTTGATACATTTGTGACACTCAACATGAAGAACTAGACAATTTTTTCCTCCCCACATGTAGGGATCTAAACAATAAACCAGACATTGCATATTAAAAAAGAAACCCAAAACAAGGAAGGATTGGTGACCGATATATAGTAGAACATCACTTGGTACTGACCTTCTACAATGAAGAATAAACATGCTTTGATTCTGTTATACATTTACAATCACAGAACTATTAAACTAACTTTTTTCCCCCTAAATAACTCAACTCTTTACCACTCTTCTTTGTCATTGTGGTTCTTGTTCTGTTCACACAAACTCATCTAGTAGGTTGCTTTTTGTTTCTCTCTTCTCTTACTTTAATGTCCTGTGAGTGGTTAAGTTCTCTAAGCCTTCTTTCCTTACTTGTTTTTCACATGGTCTATCCATGATATTCTCAGCATTCATTAGAAGAATCATATCACTGTCATTTCAAATTCCATCTGTGAGGAAATTGTCCAACATTCCCCACCCTGTGTCATCTGTGTGTTTTACGGTTATGTCTACTGATAAATCTCAGAAGTTCTCTAGTTTTTTTTTTAGGATTGTCTCAGTGTATATGTTTTATTTAACATATATCTGGTGAAATAACATCTTTATACTTGTCTCTATTGTTGTGTATTCATTAAACTTGTTCTCTATTTGCATAAAAGCAGTGTGTTCCCAGCAGTTATTGATAGAAATGCTATTAAAAAATGATCAAAAACTTATATTTCAAAAAGCTCTTTGTGTCATACTCTCTCAAATGGCTGTATAAACAAGCAAACAGGTAATTTTTCTTGCTCTAACAGTTTTCTGGTCACAAATTGCTCTTATTGTTCCAGCGTCTTTTTTCATTATTTCCAGTTTAATTCTGTTACAAGGTCTATTCTTAAGAATC